TCACTTAAACACGTACAAATGTGAAACATCCAGTCTCATGAAGGTAATCTACCTGAAATGCATTCATCATCACTAATTACAACCCTGAATATGCCTCAGAAGGCAGAGGAAATCCATTAGTAGGTTATACAACTACCTTCCTCCTCTGCCATAAAAGGTATATCCCATCACGTCACCGCAGAAAAATGTGGTGCACACCAAGCAGCAGGAGCCCTAGCCCCTGCCTGCGAGCCCACACCCTCCATCTGCTCTGACAAATCTGCTTAATAAATGGCATCCAGTTCTAGGGGCAGTACTGAATCAGCACAAATCACACCAGTGTTTGTCAAGCACTTGCCTTGAGTTTCCTATGACTAATGAGCCATTCAGGTGTAGTTGGTGTGTGCGGACTGGCTGATTGTAAAGGAAGCTATTTAGCATCTGATAACACACATACACACACAGAGTGCTGATTTAGAGGCCTCTTAGCTTTCAAATGAGCAGAGGAGCAATCAATTAACTGCTTTTGCAACTATCACATTTCAGCTATCACTGACAGACGTCACGAGAGAAGTTTGGCCTACTAACACACTGCTGAGCCAGTGCTGTGAAATAAAGCATGAATGCTTTTCTGGTACTAACCAAACATTTTAGCAGAAATCTTTTACAAAGAGTCAAATATGAATTCATTTTATTTTGTATAGCATCAAATCACAACAACAGCTGTCTTATATTGTAAGGTAAAGCCCCCACAATAATGCACAGAGAACCCCAACAATCAGATGACCCCCTGTGAGCAGGCACTGGGTGACAGTGGAAAGGAAAAACTCCCTTTTAACAGGAAGAAACCTCCGGCAGAACCAGGCTCAGGAGGGCAGCCATCTGCTAGAACAAGCTGAAGGTGAGAAGTGGAGGACACATAGATATTAATAATAACTGATGACTAAATGCAGTCATGTAGATGTGAACCTTTAGAATGACCAGGATTTCTATACTGATTACTCCTAAAATTTAAGCCAATCTTCATGTGATTTAAAATTATAGGCAAACACATTTTACCAAAGAAATAAGAAACAATTTACACATTAACACAAACTGACAGCAAATAGGGGAAACCAGATTTCTTGCTACTCTCCGTCTCTTTCTGAGGGGGCACCAGCAAAGATCACACCAAGAGGACACCATGAAATACAGAAAGAGGTTAAAAAAGAACCAGACTAACAGCAAAACACCAACAGATACGTCGACAACTTCCAAACATAAGAAACACATGCCATGTCACAAGTGTAGCAAAGGCCAAGTGGACGCTCTACAACACGTCTGGGACAATGACAAATGCTGAACCTACAGCAAAATGCATAATCCTTATATTAGGAAGGCATTAGGCTTTTCTACCTGAGGGTGAGATGCAGTTATTTAGAGAACAATGTAAGCTAAACAGTTTCAATAAAGTTACAGAAGTATGTCAGAGCCTTTTTCCATGCCCTGAAGCTTAGGAGAGGTTTGGTGACGCAACAAGAGAATGAACCAAATCCAATCAACAACAGAATGGTGGGAAAAAAATAAAAGGTTTTCAAATGGTCAATCCACAGTGCTGACTTCAAACTAACCCAGATATTGCGTCATGTCCTCAGGAAGGCCGTTCAATTAAAACCTCCCACAAATACTGACGACCTAAAAAGGCTATAGCTGGAAGGAGCTTCCCAAACTCCTCTTCATCATTGTCCAACTCTTTTTAGGACCTATGAGAAATGTCTTAAAGACTCTACACATGATAGATTTAGTCTTTTCCGTTTTCCACCCAGGACCAAGCGATTATTTATCATGCTCAAAACACACAAAAGACACAATTTTTAGTGTTTTATTAAGTTTAAGAGTACACATTTTTTTATTGCAAGTAAAAACTGCCAGGAGGCCATCTCCTTCAGATAAACAGCAATCAGAAATAACATGTAAAGTATTACGACATATATTAATTTACCAAGCAATCGCTAATGGCAGAGTGTGGTTATGACAGTGTGTGGATATAATTAATGTCTAAAATACATGTCCAACACTGCAAATACCACAAAGATGTGTTTCGGGGAACACATCAATAAAGCCCCCTCCATCCCCATGGCTACTGCTAACGCTGCTATTTCTGTAAATGTGTAAACGAAATGTCAGTGAAAGAAGGTAGGGCCACACATTGATTTTTCTGGCCTGAAAAAAAAAAAGTGTGTCATTGACAAGGAGACATAATTTTAAAGTTACCAGCCATGGGCAAGCAATCCAGATAGTTAATTGTGTATATGGGGTGGGTGTGGGTGGGGTGTGTGTGTCTGAGTGTGTGTGTGAGAGAAGGGTGTTTGGATTAAATTGTTTTGACAGGCAGGCCTTTACCACCCAGACAGCTGGCCTCTAACTGCTGCAGTGGTTTATCACCTCCCATACAGAATCACCTACAAACACCCGACAGTGCTACCTAACACCCAAAGAGGCTTTATCAAGAGCCAAGAGAAAATCCCAGTGGCTCATAGCACAGGAACTACTGTGGAATAACTCCAACATCCTGAGCAATAAATTGCACATTTCCTTTCATGATATCACATATCAGTTTTGATGCCCAGCATCTAGCTTGGTCTGCTTCTACCGGCAGATGATGGAGCCTTCAAAGCTGCTGCTGGATTCACCTGCCGTCATAAAGCACTTATCAGGCCGAATATACTGAAATCTGCCGGTTCTGATGAGGTCCAGTAGACTCAAGGAGTTTAAATTGGGCTGGAAGAGGTCGAAATTGAAGAAATTTGATTTTTGTCCTGTTTTAATAATTTACACCAGCTGAATAAATTGACTCCATGTTTCTGCTGTGGATGTAAATGCTGTAAAATTACAGCAGAGAGTAAGTGCTTGAACAGCACAGTCACTATTTACTCCCAAGAGCTGTGGCACGGTGCCAACGTGTCACAAAGTATCACTGTCAAATGCATATATACAGAGCGTACTGCACACACGCACACACACACCCAATCACCACCCTTGTGTGCGAAAGGCTGCTTCACAACAGGAAGCAGAGCAGGAAAAGGTCTGCATCAGTAACCGTGGTCTAAAGTGGCACGAATGTCGCTCTACATTACAGAGCTAGCTCGCTTTTTAGAGCTGAGACAATGAACTGATTACCTGTTTAAAGGGTGCTCGCACACCTTACCTTCTTTATTATGGTACACTTTGCAGGCTTATATTTAATTTAAGATATCTTCCCAGAGTTCCGGGGAGCTATTGTCCTCCATTTATCATCTCTCTGCAAGATGAAAATCAACTGGAGCAGATCAGTGTAGATTTTTCCTGAAGTTATAAATGTTTAAGCAGTTACAGCAGCACATCTGACATCTTAACACACTTTTGTTTAGTCTAACATTTTAGAAGCTGTGTCCCTGTTGTGTGTTTTGGATGTAATTATGTCTACAGAGCGAAGAATCTTCATTAGTCCTTGGGCTCCACACGTGAGTGTCCCAGCAAACTTCACGGACATAAAGCTCTGTGTGACTCCAGGAACACCTACATAGGAGGGCTGTCCTTACTGTTAATGCTTATTTAAGATCATTAATCGCATGGAAACACCAAAGATTCACTTACACTATGCTAGGGGTGTCAAACATAAAGTCCTGGGGCCAGAATCAGTCCGCTAAAGATTCCAATCTGGCCCACTGGACAGCTTTGGAAAATGTGAAGGAGGGGATACATTTTTAGACTTAACTGTAGTTTCCTATGTTTTACAGCTTTTTCTACTGAGCTCCTCCATTCATGCTACACCAAAGTGAATAATTAATAGACAAACAATTAAATGACAGCAATGTCCTGTTCTTCCACTGTCAACAATAGAAACCTATGACTTTTACAATGGGCTGACAGTGGGAGGAAGAGGACAATCTGTCAATGAACACAACACAAATTCTCTGTTTTATAATAGAAGGAGAGTCTGCACATTAAGCTAAGATCAGACTTAGTTCTTACCACAGCATTTTTTTTAAATCATGTAGAAAAAACTGAGATATATACTGCTGAAAGTTCTTCCTTTTCTTATGTTAAAATATCTCGGGGATTAAATGTGTAGCTAAACTTCTTCACACTGACAGACAGAGGAGTTTCACAGGTCTGGCCCACTTAAGATCAAAGTGGGCTGTACGTGGCCCAAAATGTAAAATGAGTTTGGCATCTCTGCTCTGTGAAGGTATTGAGTTCTGTGACAAATTCACAGGCAATTTTCCCCATGATCTCTCATTTTACCGAGCAGGACCAAGTTAGAATCACGAGTTTTCTTATTCTAAATTATAGTGCACAAGAGTCAACATATTTCCTGTTTGATACAATTAAATTAGGACACGTGAACAAGTTGTGACACGTCACGCCACACGGAGGGAGACTGCACAGCCTACTGTCCTGCTTCCAAAGCGCACTTGAGCTGCATGCTCCCCAACTGCCAGTCAGTGGTCAACAGCCAGACCCGCACTGTGCAAGTCACTTCAGTTTGCAACTTTCAGTTCCACTTAAGAGTGAAAATGAATGGGCGGCTGAGCTGCGACCGTGGAGTGTAAGTCCAACACGCCCGGTGAGTGCAACAAAAGCGGCATGTGCAGCATAAGCTGTGACAGAAAGCTAAGCTATCTGAGGAGCCCCGGTTGTCCGGACTTTACCGGACGGTTTACGGTTTAGAAACATGGGAGGGACCCCGTGTGTGCACATGCGGCCGCCGGCCAGACGCCGCTGAGTGCGGGCAGCTACATAAATAAATCCAGTGATAATACCTGCACCACACACACCGCAGTGCCCCCTTATTATTATTACTAGCTGCTTAAATCTGGGCACCAAGTTCAGTCAAGGGCTGTCAACTTCCCTCCTGCACCTCCTGCACGGACAGGCTAGAAGCCGCGGAGAGGAGGAGCGATTTAGATTTATTAAAAAAAAATAATTTCTCTTCTGTATTGAGGGATGGCACAGCGACGCACTTTAAATGAAACACACAAGAGGTTCGTGTGACTCACCAGCAACACCAACGTTAACATTTTCGCCTCTCTCATCCGACTCCCGTAGCGATTCCAAGAGGCCATGATGCCGTTGCCACGTCTGGATACGCAGGCGCATTCGCTTTTCCACGGATTCTTGAGCATGGCGCAAGGGTTATTGGGAAATGTAGTCCTGAGCGGGGGAGGCAGCAAAAGTCACTATTGCACCTGCTACCCCCACCCCCCAACACACACACACACACACACAGGTTAGCACCGAGTGTAAGAACGGTAGTCTACGTGGTTTTGTTTTTATCGGACTAATGCAGACATATTGAAGGACAATTAATTACACAAGGGGCTAATTAATAAATTGGCTTGTGATTGAAAGGATCTTAATTAGCTCTTTATCAATTGGACTTCCACTCCTGATGAAAAATTGGCTTGATGAAATGTGCTCAACAACATCTGATTTAAGCAACGTTTGGCGCAAGGTGAATAGAATAAAATATAATAGAACAGAATAGATGTGGAGAATTGTAGAAAATTGCGTACAGTGATAACACACTGTATAACGATAAAAAAAGGGGCCAATCAAACACCCAGTTTAATCCATATACGTCAGTGAAGAGTAGAATAGAATAGAACAGAATAGAATAGAATAGAATAGAATAGAATAGAATAGAATAGAGCAGTGATGCTCTATAAACAAATGTTTCTTTCGGATGTGCCCATCAAGTCTTTTTTGACACTAAAGAAAACACATCTACAGCATAGAATGGCAGTGTTTTTAGAATGGACTTTGACTTGCTCTGATGTTATCCTTATTGCCATCGTGAAATTCAGTAGTAAACAAATTGAAAAGTTTTGTTTGTTTGGTTTTACTTGCATGTATTTGTTGTTGCCATTGTAATTGGCCTAAGACATAGTTAAGAATTTCCTGTAAATTTTAGGCTTGTGGAATGTAAATAGACTAGAGTAGTAACAAAACAGAAAAGTGTATAACCATAACTTGTGTTCCCTGTTTAAGCTTCGCTGTTTACTTGCAAAGCAGGGGAACACTCACATTCCCAGTGGACCTTTATTGCCCGGTTACCCCGACGGCAGGTAGGCTGCTGTTGCATCCCAGACAACAGCACGCAGGGCAAACCTTTCCCAGAAAATCCCTTTGGTCTTTTCTTAACTCGGTGCGGCTGTTTCTGCACTGGACATAGGCAGTGTTGTGACACTCTTCTTGCTCTCCGGGGTGTCCGTGCGTATGTTCCTCCCGATTGCGCTTGCAAATCGGCCTCTTACTCCCCCCCCACCCTCCTCACCACCCCCAATCCTCCACTCCTCCCCGCTCTCCCCCAACCCGGTGGTATCGTCCGACGGTAAAGAAGAGAGAGCGCAGTTGTCGGCTGCAGGTCTCTCGGAGAGGAACGCGCAGCGGCTGAGGAAACAAGACTAGAACCCGTCTCTATTCTGGCTCCACAGCTTAAAAACTGCGACTGTGATTCTCTCCTTATCTCTACCTGGCATTCTCATCAACTTAGGGAATACAAACATCTTACAAGGTAAACGAAAAACCACTTTTCCCTTCTTTTCCACTGCAAAATACCTGGGAGGACTAATACAAAGCACTTTTTGGGTGTGTTGTGCACCAGTTTCCAGCTTGTATCCCGCTTCAGATTTACGAAATGGATTGCAGTTCGACTTTGACTGAGGTGTTTGATTTTTTTTTTTCATATTAAAGGCAAATCAGCACAATAGCCTGCTGCAGCTTAGCTGACCTGCACAGATAAAATAAATAAGGGACCCTCCATCACTAATGGATTGGCTACTCGAAAGCTTTATTCAGCCATGCTGTGGGGTCCGTTTCTCTCTGGACCATTTTTCTATCAGAGCGGGGTTTGAGCGGTGGGGCTGTGTTTTTATCCTAAATGTCAGACACTTTGCGGATATCCTCTTTTTCCCACTTTAACAGCTTGAGGCGAAGTGATTTGTCCGTTGATATAGCGTGTTATTCAGAGCTGCTCCTTTATGTCTCGCCAGTTTTACTTTCCACTCACGTTTCATCCCAGGATCAGAGGCGCATTTGTGGGCTGCAGGAGCTGGCTGTGCCTGCCACATTAGCACTGCCTCAAACTTACTTTGTGCTGCACGCTGTCCTGTAGTCCCGGTAAGAGGCAAGACGTGGACTTAAAAAGCAACCTTGTTGGGAAACTTGTTCCCGTTGTTAGGAGATATGCTTGGGAAGGAAAGTGCATTTTTTGGGAGATTGTGCGCCTGGTCGGCATTTCTCTTTTTAAATATTTGTGTGCACGGTAACCCAATTTGGCGGTTCAGAAGTTTAGTGTAAAATCGACCACCCTGTCTTTTCTTCCCGACTATGCAAGTGAATTTTATTGTCTGACTTAAAGACGGCCAATAATGACCTCATTGCTCATCACTTCCGATAACAGATTAACAGCTTTTACGCACGGGTTGAGCAGCCTTGCGCACAACGTTTCGGGTGTTTTGTTCTTTCCCAATCCCAGGAAACGTTAGTGAGGCTAATTCTGCACGAGAACACTCAGAAAATATTCATGAGCTTGTCACTTGGATGAATAGCTTCTCCATTTCTCCCCGATAAAGACACTTCAGATTTGTAATAGTTTAAATTGTAAAGCTGTCCAGGAAAAAGCGCCTGAGGCTGTGGATTTCGAACAAAGAGATACCCTTTTATCAAAGAAATAGGTCAATTTCATTTTGCGTAAATTTGAGTTGATTATCCTGAAATGATTTGTCAAGAGCTCCAAAGCGGACCGTGTTGTAGCAGAGCAACAGAGGGCAGTGTTGAGCGGCACTGTACAGCTGTGGCGACACCTTGCCAGGTAACGTCTGCTGTAGAGTTACAGACAATCTGCACGCACACAAGTTTGGTCAAATGAGCACGCAAAGAGACTTTCATGAAGTATTGCTTGATTGTTTTTTCTTTTTGTTTTAATCAGTCGATCAAATGCCAAAAGCTTACGCACAAACTTTTATCTGGAGACAGTTCACTGAGAACAGTTTTCAGAGAAATTTTGCGGCTGGAATTTTTAAGGCTTAAAATATTAAATCTTATATTCCCC